CTGACTTCACAGATCCCCTGAAAATGACTTGACAGATTTTTTAGGATTCCCTGGAACACAGTGTGAGAACTGATTCTGTAGCCTTTAAGTCAAAAATTCTCCTCTTATTTTGTTATGCATTTTTCTTTATCGATAGATGCTGACCATAACAAAATGAACTTTCTGCATTTATCAAAATAGATGTGCAACCCTTTCCTTCAGTTACTGAAACAGTAAGTACAAAGGCATATTTTACTGATGTTAAACTATTCTTGAATCCCTGAAATAAACCTTACTTGATCATGCTCTGTTATTATTCTCTATACACCATTAAAGTAATTGAGCTTCTTGCTGTGGTCTCTTTCTCCCTGGGGATGTCAACCACTGTGCCTAGAATGTGAGTGAGTTTGTGTGTAGACCGGTTTTAACATGTAACCACTCCCAGTGGTTTAAGGTGGTGGGATGCAGTGAGGGGTGAGGGGTGTCAGTAAGTGAGCTCCAGAACAGAGAGGCTTGAACGACACTGTTCAAATTAGAGCTTAGTATATCCCTACAGAGTGATGGACAGGGCTAGCCTGTCAGTTTTGAAGCTGAGAGACTTTAGACATGAACTCAAAGGGGCTTCCTCCCTGACACATCCACCGTCTGGCCCAGCAGGGCCCCTCCTGAGGAAATGACCTGTGAAGCAAGGTCCTGGCCTGAAGAGCTGTCCTCCATCCATACCTCCCAGCAGCCCTGGCCCCGCCATCATGGCTCCCAGCCTTCCTCTCCCAGCCTCAGCTCCCCAAACCCTGATGAGCTGAGCCGAGCTCCTGACTGATGGCTACCAGTGCAGAGCAAACCTACCCTGTTTCCTCAGGTTGCACAGTGGGGAAGTGACCTGTGGGTGAAGAAAGTGGTGGTTTCCGGGAGGTTTTCTTCTGCAGTTTTCTAGAGACATGACCTGCAGAGACTTTCCCCAGGCACCAAGTCTGGCTTTTCTGCCCCCCCCAAGATGCCAGTAGGGAAGGCTCAGTATAAATACCAGCCGCTCTCCCTGGCAGGCAGGGACCAGCAGCTCTGCTCCACCAGAAATCAGGTGAGGAACTACTCCAAGGAGTGATTTTTTTTTTTAAACTTACTTGTTTTCTCTTTCCCAGAAAGATAGTAATATCCTTTCAAAAATAATCATCCTGTTTTGTATTAATCCATGTGAGGTCTATTCTGGACAGAGAGAATACATGGCAGAGGGTCGCTGGTGCATTTCAGGCTACTTTAGGGAGTGAAGCCCCCTCTTCCTCATTGTTGCCACCTTGGTACTGCCTTATACAGTCTGGGGTTCAGGGCTGGTGGGAGCAGAATTGAGGGCTTGTGGCTCTGAGTGAGGTCACACTGCCAGGTTTCCTGGATGAACCACTGAGATTCTGATAAGAACCAAGGGAAATAACAACCAGGCTCTCTTTAATGTCTGAATCCCAAGGGGAAGTGCCAGTCTTGTCTGTGTCTCTCTGACCTTCTGCTTTCATTTCAGCAGGACGAAGCTTCTCACAGGCCTGATTTTCTGCTCCTTGGTCCTGGGAGTCAGTATCCAGGGCAGATTTTCATTCCTTGGTGAGGCTACTCGAGGTAAGACTGATGGAGAGAGGACGGCACCCATGGGCCACCAGGACTCTGAGTATAGTCCATGTGCCCAGTGGATGTGGGTGATCACTAGAGAAGCCACAGTGAGGCAGAGCAGGAGCGTGGCTTTCCCATCAGTATTTCTCAGAATGGCCAGGGAGTCCCTGGCGCTTGCTGGTGTCCCCGGACCCTAGGTCAGTAGCACTTAGTGTTCTGAGGTCAGACCAATAGTTCTGGGTCCGCCTGTGGTGCTGTGCTGCCCCCTGGTGGGTCCCTGGAAGAGCACGCAGCCCTGGGATGTAAGGTCCTGCGAGGCTGACTCAACACATGTCTGGGGTAGGTGTACAGGATTTCCGAAGAGAAACACCAGTCTGTTTCTGGTAAAATGACAAAATTATGCTTTCAGAAGGCTGTTTGAAACATACAGGGATGTTAGTGTCTGTTACTACAGGACTAATTGAACCGAGGGTGTGCTGGATTGCCCACTGAGGTGGCCCTTTAGAGTTGCTAGGAATATCTCCTTTCTCCTCAGACCAGAGTTTCTCAGGGTATTTATCAAATATTCCAGAAACTCCTGCCATGTTAATCAAAAAACGCAGACTCCTGAGCAATAAAGGGGAGCGGGGAGGGCGGAGGGGCAGGATCCAGTAACAACACACAACAGAATATTTTGTGCATTTTTTTAAGGTCTGAGCCACTGTTGTGCTGCCCAATGTGGCAGAATGTGCCAGGTGTTTTGAGAGCTGGCAAACGGATTAGAAACGGATTAGGATTTACATCCATCAGTTACTCAGTGAAAGAACAATCGTCATTCCCAGGAAGCTAAGGTATCTGTTTTGAGTAGAAGACAAGCAGTAAGGCTTGAAATTGGTGTGAAACGTCCTTCAGAACAAACCACACAAAAGCGCTATTAAAGCTCTCCGTTCACACTTATCTCTTCCTTGTTCCTTCCTTCCGTTTCCTGCTGGGATAATATAAAGAGGACTTTAGCTCCTGGTTTAGTCTGTTTCCCACCCTTTTCCAGCCTTCTTGACAGGAAATGGGAAGTAGCATACATGAAGTCCTCACAAGGAACTTAGTCTTTTCCCATTTACTTTCAGAATAACTCTGAGGCAGGCGTCCTCCCCTACACTGAGGTGAGAAAACTGAGGCTTAGAGCAGCAGGAGGCAGAGCAGAGCATGAGCCCAGCTGTGCATGAGGACGTAGCTCTTCCAGGTCGATGTGTCTGCTCACCACTTTTCAACCTCTGAGGTTATCAGTCTCACTCATGCCTGAAACCACCCTAACAGATAATAGAGGAAAATTGGCCTGGTGGGTGGCCTGGTCATGGGGACTTTCAGTATCTCCCCAAATGATCAGAAATGCAGCCACGAATGAGGCTCTAGCACTTCCTCAACAACTCTCAGCATCAGTACAGCCTATTTAACAAGATTTTAGGGACACCTATGCCTCTAATGATCAGAGGCTCTCAAGTCACAATTATGTGCATTCAGCTGGCAGGAATCATTTTTTCTCAGGCGTCAAAGCAGAAACACCATTTGTCTGCAGCCTTTCTCAGAATCTGTCTTCCATGTCACCACCTCACTCATGTAAAGTCCTGGATCTTACCACATGTAGTTTCATTCTATAGCAGTGGTTCTTGACCAGGGCAATGAGGTGGTCCAGGGGACATTTGGCAATGCCTGGAGATGTTCTTGGTTGTTGCACTGGGGGAATATGCTGCCAGCATCCAGTGGGTAGAGACTAGGGACACTGGTAAACATACTACAGTTCCCAGGACAGCCCTGAGAAGCAAAGCATTATCTGGCCTAGTATGTCAATAGTGCTGAAAATGAGAAATCCTATTTTCTAATGATATCTCCCTTCTCTGCTTGGATGCATCCCATAGAGCCCTAAGTAAGATGTAGCTCATAGCATCACGTGGGCAGACAACCAGATACAACAGAGAAGTGCCCCATCTAAATGACTGTCATTCCAGTAACCTATAGAAGCCAACTAGGATTAAGGAGTGTTCTTCTCACCCCATGGTACCCAAGGCTGCTGTGATCACAGGCTGAAATCTTAAAGTCACTGGAAGATTTTTCTTTTTTTTTGTGACCGGCAACGGATCGCAACCCTCAGTGTCGCGCCCATACTGGACCGGGACCGGCAACGGGATCGCAACCCTCAGCATTGCTCCCGCACCTCGCTCAGCCAGTGAGCGGGAACCAGTCTGTATGTGGGATCCAAACCCTCGGTGGGAGTGCTGCCGCGCTTCCCAAGCGGCGCACTGTAGCAGTGCACCACCGGGCCGGCCCCACTGGAAGATTTTTCATTCTTTGGTTCCTCTCTAAGGTGTTGTCAGAGTCTCTGTGTTCGGCTGATCTCATTTTTACCTTTTCCTTTTCTTACCAGGAGCTGAGGACATGTGGAGAGCCTACTCTGACATGAGAGAAGCCAATTACATAAATTCAGACAAATACTTCCATGCTGGGGGGAACTATGATGCTGCCCAGAGGGGACCTGGGGGTGCCTGCGCTGCTGAAGTGATGAGGTAACTCGAGCTCCTGGGGATATCAGGGATGGGTGAGCAGAGCTTGACTGCTTTGGGGGATCAAGAGGTGATAAGCCCCAGAGCAGGTCCCTTTAGGGCTGTGACCCCTCATCTCTATATCCATCCTGTCCACCTTCTTCATCCACAGCCAGTGCAGAGCCTGGGCTCTTGGCAGAGCCTGAGTATGGCTGGTGAACATGTGTGAACCTGAGGGCCAAGCAAGGATCCCCAGCCCTCTCTCTCCCTGGGTGCTGTTCATCTGGCATATGGTTGACCAGCCTGGGCTGAGTAGGGCTGTGCCCAGGCGAGGTCAGTTTTAGCCCCTCATTCCTTGGCCTTACTGGGCTCCTCTCAGAGAAACCCTGGAAAGAGGAGATCCTGGAGGGTGCAGCTGTTGCTCACCTGCCTGCTGATTAACCTCTTTCCTACCTGCCTCAATTACAGCGATGCCAGAGAGAACATTCAGAGACTCATGAGCCACAGAGCAGAGGATTCACTGGCTGACCAGGCTGCCAACGAGTGGGGCCGGAGTGGCAAAGACCCCAATCATCTCAGACCTGCCGGCCTGCCTGATAAGTACTGAACTTCCTCTTCACTCTGCTCTCAGGAGACCAGGCTGAGAGCCCCTGTGGTCAGGAACACAAAGTTATTGAGTTCTGTGTATACAGAAGCTGGTAGAGAGGACACAATATGTGTCTAATAAGTGCTTGAGAGGTTGAAATTGTTGAAACTGATTTTTTTGTGTGTTATAAGGACTGGCTGTTTGGCATGAAGGCGTGATCAATGAACACCAGTGTGGAGGTGGAGCCTGGCCTGTGTGTTTGGGTGTAGCAGAGACAATCTCACAGTCACACAGGGTATCCCAAGGCTGGGGCAATTTCATGATGAGTTCAGTAGCACCGCTGGGATTCCAAGGAGGTCAGCAACATCCTAGCCCTTGCTCCCATGTGAGCAGCTTCCAAGTAAGTTTGCAGAAATCCCAGCCGCAGTCCCAGTGAGTTCAACCACATCCCTGGCAAGTTTTGTCAGCACCTCGGCGAAGGGTTTCTTGCTGTCAGCTTTGGCTTGTGGCACCCTGCAGACTTTCTCTGCTATCCAATGGACTACAGCCACATACTCTCCAACAAAATCTAAATCTCAGCCTTGTGAGGGGTCCTTTCCCAGGTTTATTCCTTTCTGTATTCTCTACCCCTTAGTAGCGAATGTCCTGTTATTAGTTAATAATTATTTATGTTAAACCGTCCCTCTTTAAAGAACTGCCTGGTTTCTGTCTCCTGACTGATTTATGACTGACAACAGGGTCTCCAATATGCCAGGCATTTTGCGTGTGTTTTCATGCTGTATCTGTGGCAACACACATCAAGTGTCTCACACCTCTCACCCACCTACTTCTGATCCTGGTCATGCTGAGGCCTTGCCAGTTATTTTGTTGCTGTCCCCAGATGTCTCAGTGTCCAGATCTCTACACTGCCCAGTCTATTGTGTCCTGTTCCTTTCTCTGCCTCCAGGACTTGTCCCTCAGTGGCCTCTTTCCAGTAGGCTTCAAGGAGCCTCATCCCATATTTCCTGGCACCTGACACATAGGTCTCACCAATACCAGCCCTTATCCCGGATCCCATTTTTAACCTGTTCCTTTTCATTCTACCCAAACTATGGCTGTCACATTAGTTACCCTCATCTTTATTCTCACTGACTTTGAATTCAGATCCAGATAAAAATTCTGCTTCCTCGAAGAGCCTTCCCAGTAGCCATGCTCCACATTCTGGGGCAGAGTTGTGGCTCCCACTTTGTTCATACCTGCTTTACCCCTTCCCCTCAGAGCTGGTTGTATATGTGTCAGTTCCCTGCTGGACTGCAAGCCCCTCTAACATAATAAACATTTGAACAGTAGTTTACACAGTTCATAAAACACACTGGTGGCAACTGAAACTCTTCTGAAGGGTGGGAGGCTGGTGAGTAGTAATTATAATAGCTGCCATTTTATTGTAAATGCAAGACTGTGTTCTATATTTACATGCTTTATTTAATTTAAGCTGCAAAGAAGACCTAAGTTCTCAGCTGAAGACACTGTGGTTTAGAGGAACATGCTTGTAACAGGTGCACAGCTGGGATTGCAGGCTGGTTTGTCTGCCTGCACAATGTGTAATGTACTGAACAAGGACAAGAGGTTCAGAGTGGAGACACCCTCTCTCCTTCTGGGTTCTCTAGAGCTTGGTTTAAATGTCCAAGAGAGCACGCATGCCTTGGGGGAATGCCTGACTTGTTCATCATTGTATGCAGAGCACCTAGCAGGGTCCAGACACTCAGTAAGTGCTTTCTGGTTTGGAGGACCACATTGAAAACTATACTTCTATCCACATTAGTCTTCACTCTTGCACATTTTCCTCTTTCTCTTAATAGTCAAGCTTGCTGAAAGAGTTGCCTGTTTACACTTTCTGATTCTTCACTTCTGATTTACACTTAACTTACCCCAGCCTGATTTCTGTCCCCACCACTAAAGCAAAATAGCTCTTGTCATGATCGACCTGCATGTTGCCAACACTCCAGTATGAGTCGGCCTCTAAGCAACACTGAACACAGTTGCCCTCCGTCTCCTTCCTGATGGAGTCTGTCTCTTGGCATCGAAATACTGTCACAGCAAAACACTTCAGTCTGTAAGGAAATTTAAATGAGGCTTTTATTTAGGTTTGGAAGCCAGGGAGACCACTTCTTAGCCTGAGAAGTAAGTATGCCCAACAAGCAGAAAAAGCAAGAAGGTTTTACAGTGTAAGTTCAGGAGAGTCTAAGCAGTATTTACTTTCCAAACTCTGTGTGAAGACAGAATGGATAGCTGACTGTGACATATTGAACAAATGGTTTCTCAGGCCTTTTTACAAAATTTATGTCTACTCTAATCTAGACTATTCAATTTGTAAGTAATTCCCCGTATGTTTAAGAGGTTTGAGGCAGGAAGCCAGATAGAGACAAGAGCAGGAGGAGGAAACCTGGTTATTTGCAAGTGGGAAAACTGGTTCCCCAAGAACGTAGGCATGCACATGTGCATGCACAAAAGCTGTCACAGGAGACAAAGACAATTCCAGACAGGGAGCCCTGCCCCCATCTTGGGTGTCATTCAGCTGGACCAATGAGCTCCCACCAGCTAGGGTGCCAATCACTTTAACCAATAGGACAGAGACTACATTCAGGGCTCAACCAATGACCAAATGACACAAATCCAGCTAAGAGGACTTAAACCGCCAGAAATGTAACCATAGGGACTCTTGAGCCCCTGTCTCGTTTGATCCCGCTCCATCCTCTCCAGATTTTATTCTAGCTTTGCTAAATAAAACTGTTCTTTGTTTTTCACCTCTGGTGTGTCTCACCCAATTCTTTGTTTGAGACACCAAGAACCCAGATTTTGCAAGCGGAACCTGGAATTTCCTTTAACAGGTTGACATATTCCCTCTTCCCAGGATTTCTCTAAATAATGTTATCTGATTTTTTTTATATATACTCCGCTTATCTACACAAGAGTCTGTTTGTCAAGCAGTAAATTCTAATGAAGAATCAGCTCCTTGGTCTAGAAGCTTCAGCCTGTGCCATGGAGTTCCAGACTGCTCATGTCTTTCTTTTCCTGCCTGCCTGTCCTTGGGACTTTGCACTCACTTAGCAAGCTCCCACAATTGTGCAAGCCAATTCCTTAAGATAAATCCCTTAACATAGACATATATATCCTATTGCTTTGGCTTCTCTGGTTGAACTCTGACTGGTATTGTTACCAGAACCACAAAGTTCCAGGTTCGAGTACCCTATGCTCCTCTAAATCAAACACTGAAACAATGGGACTTGGAGATAAAGAAAGGTTTCTTCAAATTGGCCAAAGTGAGAAGACAGGAGAGCCCAAGCTTCTCTGATCCATCTTACCAAAGAAACAGAAGGTGAGGAGTTTTATAAGGCTAAGAGGTAAGGGACAGGGAGTCTCAGGGAAGTTAAGGGAAAATCTGTGCTTTTGCCAACTCCAGATAAGATCTTAGGGGCTGGATCATCTAGTGGTTGCAGTTTCTTTGAGAGCCTTCATTCTCTTCTGCAAAATAAATTCATAAATTCTCCTGGTGATCTTTGGGTCATCTCTTCCACTTGATGGTAAACTGGACATCAACTTATAGTTATATTACAAGAACATCATCTAGTGGTTGCAGTTTCTTTGAGAGCCTTCATTCTCTTCTGCAAAATAAATTCATAAATTCTCCTGGTGATCGTTGGGTCATCTCTTCCACTTGATGGTAAACTGGACATCAACTTATAGTTATATTACAAGAACAAGGGGTACTGGGAGGGAAGTTAACAGCTACCAGCAAGCAAAAGTTTAACTCAACTCTCATCTTTTTGTTACTTGGAATGTATTGCTACTCCTAGGAATTCAGCCCATCCTGCTTGGCCAAACAGATTTTTTTGCTATCTCCCCCTTCCCCTAGCTGAGGCCCACTCTGACAGGGGTCAGGGGTGCAGCCAGGGGAAATCAGGGGGTCTGTTCCCCCAGTTTCAATTCTGAATTTGGTACTGGAAGCAGTTCCAGAGGAACAGAATCTTAAGGATTGATTTAGATTTAGATTTATCACAAAGAATTTGTTTATGCAGGGATGAGGAATGGCTAAGCAAGTCAAAACCCTGTAGGGAAGGCCTGTTTTTCACAGGTAGTCAAGCAGGAAATATCACAAGGCGGCTGGAACTCCACAGGCACAGGCCAAAGTGTTGTCCTCAATTGGAATATTCTCTCCCTTAGGTGGTTCTTCTCTTTGGAACTAAGTCCTGTAAAATGTCAAGTCATAGGGATGGGAAACAAACATTTTGATAAGGATCAGTGGGGTAGTAGGAGAGAAGCCACTCCTATTTTCTTACCTTGATTCCTGGACCCATGAATCCTGGCTGTGGAAGAAACAGTAGCATATATTGGACACTGATTTAGAGCATAAACCATATCCTGGAGGACATTGTACTATCCCTGCAAGGTATTGCCATCTAGCTAGCAACACAGCTGGGTCTTCAAAAGGTTACTCCACCAGTCTACACAGCCAACTACTTCAGGATAGGAACATGGTCCTTGAACATGGTCCCCCTGTCATACTTCATTCGCTGTAAAATTAGTTCCTTGATCAGAAACAATGCTCTGTGGAACACCATGATGGTGAATAAGGCATTCTGTAACTCCACAGACTTTGACAGAAGCATCGCATGCAGGGAAGGCAATTCTGTATTCATAATGTCTATTCCATTAAGAGCAAAGCATTTCCCCTTCTGTGATGTTAGCATGGTCCAATGTAATCAATGCATCAGTAGGTAGTTGACTGATCACTCCAGAGAATGGTGCCAAACTGGGGGGCTCAGTTTGGTCTCTGCTGCTGGCATATTGGGCACTGTAGCCATCTTGACCTTGGTGAGTGGAAGTCCTTCACTTGGTGAGTGGAAGTTGCTGAGCCCAAGCATACCCTCATTCCTGCCACAATGGCCACTTTGTTCATGAGCCCATTGGACAGTGACAGGTGTAGTTGGAGAAAGAGTCTGAGCAAAAGATTTTAATAGACATTTCTCCAAAGGAGATATGTA